CGAACGGTTAGGTTCAAGTTTAAAGGATCAAAGGTCATCCGATGCTTACAGTAGACGATTTTCACATTCTGAGTTATCCCCCGTTATCCCCCGTTATTATTCAGTAACAAGATCCAGAATTTTTTTTCTGGGAGGGAGGGGGGTTTCCAGATCAGAATTTCCTGAGAAACAAAAAAACAAAAAAAACAAAAAAGAAGTTATGGTGGGGTCTGTTTTCTAGGGTGGAGGGAAACTCGGGGCATCCAAAGTCATTTTTATTTCCTCCAGTATATATTATAGTCCTGCACATTCTGGGGGGGAGGGGGCGATCTCCCAATCCACTTCCCTGTCCCTGTAATGACAAATGATCATGTGACTCCTAAATAGTAGGAAACTTTTTCCATTTGACTACACATAATTTTGTTTCTTGTGTTATTATGTTATGTAAATTTAATGGTATAAAGGTTATGAACCCCTGGAGGTCATCCCCACTCTCCTATAACATGCATAAAGAGCTGAAAATGTTCACAATATGACTGCATTAAGTTAAATAAAAGTGCATCAATGATAAGTTTGCTTGACATTTCATTCATGAATTTATGTCAACCTATCCTTCTAGAATTAGGAATGAAAATCATTCAGAGATGGACCATATTAAACTATTTGTATAAACAATTTTTTAAATGTAAAAAAAAAGTAGTAGTTTGCATACATGAACAAAAATGGGTCTGAGAAGGGGTGATGGGAAGGATCGAGTTAATATTTCTTTACGTCTTAATGATCGAGTTAATATTTCTTTACGTCTTAATGGTTGAAAACTCCTAAAATGAATGTTGACCTCAAATCTGACTTGTCCTCATTATTTTTCAAGTGGTGGTGTCTCCATATGAGTGAAAAATTCCTGAGAGGGATGTTTAACAACAAACAAAATGACATAAAAACACAATACTGATTTGCGTTAAGAAATATGCAGGGAATTTTTTCCATCATAAATCTTCTTCTCAAGAACAGCAAAGGCATTATTGTCCCCCGTTTTTGGGAAAGGGAGGGGACATTAAATCTCATTTGTTTGTCAGTCTGTCCATATTGACAGCTAGTATGTGCATCTGTCACAATAAATTTAACCTTGGTCATAACTTTTGAATAATAAGAGATAGGACTTTGATATTTCACATGTACATTACCTTAAAACTTTCTAAATATACTATGATTTTTTAACCCAAGTGAGACCTTGACCTTAAAGTTTTACCTACTTTCCAAAAAATAACATTTTAAATTGATCATTTTGAAAGAGAAAAGAAAGGGCAAATTATACATGTTTATTACATGTGAAAAGACTTTTCTAAATATATCACGACTTTTGACTCTGTGACCTTGACCTAGAAGTTTAACCAACTTTTCAAAAATATCATATTGTATATATATAACTTTTGATTCAAAAGAGATAGGACTTTCATATTTGACATGTACATTACCTGCAACAAAATGTTTCCAAGCATGCTATGATTTTCCCCCTTTGACCTAATTTTCAAAAATTGATATATGATAGGGGTGCATATTTGACACACAATCTGCCATAAATTATGGCATCCTATTCACTAAAACACATAAAGCAGAGGACCAGAATTCTTTGAATTTGCTTTGTATAATCTTGATAGATGGAAACATCGATCATCATATACGGTAATATTAGATTCAAGTTTTTTATGCCACACCATGATTAGGAATACATGAATAGTTTTTGTTATGTCCATCCTCCACCTTTCCATCTGTCTTTCCACTGGGCTCAAAGAAACTTTCTAGATATTTTTATTAAAGTTCATATGTTGATGCATACAGATGTAAATATCCAACTGCAGCAATATTTTTTGACTTTGACTTTTCCTTTGACCTTCACTTAAATTTTCTTTAAATTAGTGTTTAGCTTTATTTTAAAGAAACCATTCAAGTTGTGTAATGAAACTTCACATAATGATACATACTGATGTATGCTTTACAATGCTTCACTCTTTTTTACCTTGGCCATTCCTGTGACGTTGACCTCACTTTTCTAAAATTAATGTCTAGATCAGTTTTGAATAAACAATTCAAGATATATTTATCAAACTTCATATGCTGATACATACTGCTGAGAGCTATTAATACATCAACTTATTTTGACTTTGAATTTTCCTTTGACCTTGACCTCACTTTTTAAAATATGTGTTTATCTAAGTTTTAAATAAACCATTAATTATAGTTTTATCAAACTTTGTATGCTAATAGTAAATTCATACTGATGTAAGCTTTTCAACTGCAACAACATTTTGGCCCCAACCTTTCCTTTGACCTCTCTTTTCTTAAAAAAAGAGTTAAGCTCAGTTTCATTAAATCATTCAAGATATTCTTATCAAACATAATATGCTGATATGA